GTATATGCCAGTGATTGGGCGATCTCCGGTGCATTGATGCAAGAATATGATCAGGTTTACTATCCGGTGATGTTCGCGAGCCGTGCGTTGAAGTCCAACGAATTAAATTATGGGATCGCAGAGAAAGAGGTGTTGGCATTGTGGCGGATCCTGGATCTCAACTATAATACTTTGGTTGAGAGGCCGATCCGAGTGCTGACGCGACATTCCACACTAGCTTGGTTATTTAGATCCAATGCACTACAAGGTCGCCTGGGACAGTGGGCCGCGCTACTTTCACCCTGGAACCTCGAGATCGTCAAGTACAACAAGGGCGAGGACGAGATCCTGGGCACCTTAGCAGCCAGTATCACCCCCAGATCCGAAGTCGACAACTCGATCGCCCCGAAGAAAGAGCCGAGACGCAAGATCCAAGCCCCGATCCCGACAGTGATATCGGATGAGGATCTATATGTCGATAGCTTTGACGGATCCACCCGTGTCAAGCGAGGTGGAGGCGCCTACAGCCCGATCCTGTGGAAATTACCTGAGTGGACTGTGGTGAAGGCCAGTTCCGGCTATGCCGAGGGCCTAACTGTCAATGAGGCCGAATATCACGGTCTTTTGTTATGCCTTGATCTGTTGGAAGGGACAGATCCACTACGATTGGTGATCTGTGGCGACTCAAACCTGGTGATCCGCCAAGTTAGAAGTGAGATCAACTGCAACGCGTCTGGATTGACATTATTAAGACAAAAGGTGTTGGACAGACTGCGGATCCGGTCGGATCATCAGTTGGTACATGTGAAGCGGGATTGGAACGGAAGTGTAGATAGCCTGGCTAGTGCTGCATTGCAACGTCAATGTGGAATCGAAGTCGAAACCGATAGCGAGATTCAGGGTCTGATCACCTTGAACCGACTGGATGAGATATTGGTGGTGAAATACGAGGATCCGGCAGTGCAGATCTCGGCCGTTATTACTAGATCGAAGGCCAGATCCGGCGTGAGATCGGGATCCAAGCCCCCGGTGTTGGCGAAGAAGTGATCAGAGAGCTCAGGATCGAGCGGATCCGGCAGGCACAGGACGAGGAGGCGTGGATCCACAATTTGAAGAAGTACCTGATTGGCGAGATACGCGATCTGACACAGGAAGAGGCTAGATGTTGCGGATCCATCACTATGAATTATGAAGTGGATCACCACGATCTCCTTTTCTATTGCCCCACTACAAAGGAATCGTCTGCGGATCGGGACAAATTGATGCGACTGGTATTACCTGAGACGTTGCACCAAGATGTCCTACACGATTATCATACCAGCCTCCAAGGTGGGCATCAGGGGATTGACCGTACCTACGATCGTTTCCGGAATCATTTTCGCTGGAGAGGACTGTACCGAAGCGTGCAATTATATGTCGGTGAGTGTGTGGATTGTGAGACTGGAAAAGGGCGACCCCGGATCCAGGGCAAATCGCCGTGTAACCTTTAAGCGACTTATCCATTCCAGATCATCGCTATGGATCACATCCCCTCATTGCCCAGATCCTATAAAGGCAACACGGAGTTTTTGAATTTCGAAGATCTCTTCTCTGGTTACGTGATCGCCAAAGCGAGCGGGTCCAGGACGGCTCAGACCGTGGCAGAATCCTACGAGGAATGTGTGTTCCGCCCATTTGGTGCCAGTGCGGTGATCCGCCATGATCGTGAACCCAGATTTATGTTCGATTTCTTTCGCGCGTTTAATAAGATCCTGGATCAGCGTCAACGTGCAACAATGGCGTATAGACCCCAAGCGAACGGATCCGCAGAAAGGATGGTACAGACTACCACAAGGGCACTTAAGATGTATGTCCAGGATCGGGATCAGTGAGATTGGGGCGAGTATGCGGAGCGACTTACATTCGCGATCAACACCGCTCAGGATCGGATTCGCGGAGAGACGCCGTTTTACATGGTTCATGGTTGGGATCCGAGAGCCACCCCTGGAGGCAGTGATCCCGATGGGAAGTACAAGAAGACAGGATCGGGATCCGCGGAGATGGCGATATCGGATCCAGAGACATTACCAACAGGCACGAGACCAGGTGAATCAACGCTTACGATCTCGGATCGAGCGGATCAGAACAATGACATAGTGCGCCCACATCAAGTGTAGGTCGGATTCCGAGTGTGGTTATACTTGGATCGGGTGCGAGCGGGATATGTCAAGAAGCTTGCGCATCTGTGGCATGGCCCTTTCCGTGTGGCCGAGAAGATCGGCGAGTATGCAGTGAAACTTGAGATCGCCGGATCCGCGTACAATATCTTCCCCGTAATCCATGTGGCAAAGATTAAACCCGTCATAGAGTTTCCGGATCGACCGGTAATACATCTTATGACGCAGGGTCAAGATCGTCTGGATTTCGACGAAGCACTTTTTCCTGGAGATAGCTGGATCCAAGATCTCGATCCGGACGAGTATGAGGTTGAAAGGATCTCGGCTATGAAGACTGGCCGAAAAACAAGATATGGTCGGATCTTCCGTGGAATTTTAGTACACTGGGGGGGTACGAGGATTCGACCTGGACCGATGAGGCAGATCTCAACTGTGGAACAATCCTCCACGAGTTTTTGCGGGATCGCGCCAATCAGAACCGGTTTGGCGTGATGCAATCTCACGAAGAGTCCTGAAGGCAACATCCGCATAGGTGAGTTGGTCAACAATGCGGGAAGTTTGAGATGAAGGATCTGCAGGAAGGCTGCGGATCGGAGGAAGGTAGGTCCATATTTGGATATATCACAGTGTGTCGAAATCTGCTAAGGTCATAATCCGAGATAATAAGGAGGCGGATCACGAAATATGGACCCAAGATTCAAGATAATGTGGTGGCGGTGGACTCTGCACAGAATAAGTGTGGAATGATCAGTGGAACGAGCGGAAGAGAAACATATAATAACGGAAAGATCACAGATATGTTAGAGCAGCAGATCCAGCGGATACTTCAGGATTGGTCGGTGTACTGGGATCCGTGGGCGAGTGGCGCTCTCCACGCCAAAGAACTTTTCTACCAGCCGAGGGATTCGATGGGGAGAGTGATCCGCCGCAGAAGTGCGGTGATGATTTCGTCAAGGATCCACTTCGTCACACTCAGTGAGTGCCTCAATCAAGTTAGCCGGATACGGTCGACCAGCACAACGCGCTTCAATCCTTGGTTACCAAGTCACCTCATCGGATCTCTTTAGAAAATGAAGGAAGAATGGATCCAGTAGGAGATCGAGATCACACCAACCTTCTTGCATGGCCAAAACGAAGATGGGCAAGATCCTGCGCCAGCGAACACCATCGTGTGATCGCCGATTGTTACGCGCCTTACAGAGAGCCGCCAAACGTGGATCATCCGCACACATACGTTTGGTGATCGGGAGCTTGTGTGTGGATTCCCAGTACATAATGAGATCGCGGAGCTCCAACCGCGAATATTCGTCCAGGAAGACGCCAAGTCGACCACCCACTAGGATCTCGAAACAGGTCAGGTTGGGCACATTGCCACCATCCAGGATGTCCTAAGGGAATTCGTCGAGGAGAGCTTCGATGTTGTAGGCGGTGATCAGATGAGCGCAATAATCTGCGTCCAAGGGAGGTCGAGATATCGGCGTATGTTGAGGGTAAATCCAATCGGGTCGGAATGGCAACGCAGGCGCAAGAAGATCTACTGTCATCGCCATGATCGACCATCGACACAGATCATCCAGTAGCCAAGGATCGATATCAGCTGTCGAAAATACGCGAACTTGGGTGCGCCCAGGAATACATAAGTCATCGGCGAGAGGATTCTGGGGTAGCATGGCTGGATTAGGAGGCGGGCGATTACTGGCGGGCTAATTGGCAGGAGGATCTGGAGCATCATCACCATCGTCACCAGGTCAATCATCACCTGGATCACCGCCTCCACCACCACCGGTACGGCGCGGAGAAGCGTGATCACGCCGACGTTGTGCGGATCTCGATTGGGCGATGGCTCGAATGAGATCCTCTTCGAATATATAGTTCGCAACCACCTCCGTCTCGTGATTTGTGTAGGGAGCAGAACTGTCCGGATCCGTGGTGTCTTCATGATCCTGATTGTTGTCTGCAGCGGGATCCTTGGACTCTTCATCACCGCCAGTAAGATCCAAGATCTGCGGTTGAGGGCCATCATCCTGATGCTCTGGTGCAGATCCCTCGGCCTTGCGCTTCAATGGCGTATTGTCGCAGCTCGAGTTACCAGATCCGCCGAGTTCCTGAGCAGCGTCCAGTGGATCGAAAGGAGAAGGTGAACTCTCCGGGTCTGGAACCTTCCGGTGATCTTGGCCACCAGACTCAGCATTGTCTGGAACATCATCTTGTAGAGAACTGCCGCCCATGTCGATGTCTGCAGGTTCTTCCACCAGATCCTCTTCATCTTCTAGGGGTTGCGATTTGTGCTTGGAGGGACGACTGGACGAGGAAGACGGACTACGCGAACGCTTGAAACCCTTCTTCGAAGGGGGATCAGATCCACCGGTGGACGGATCCTTACCATCTCCAAGTGATTTTAACCCAGCTGGCGGAAGGTCGTCCGTAGGTGGAGATTCGGAGTCGGGATCCTTGGGTGATGCTCCTCCATCATTTTCACTAGGAGGATCCCTGTCCGACTCAGAGCCAAGACTCAACGAGGTGGTCGGAGGCGAAGATCCCATAGCGTTAACGATCTGGTCGAATATGCGCAGATCCGACGAAGTTCTTGTCGGAGGTCCGTTCGATCCCCAGTGAGGATATCGATGTCCGTAGAGAGGGCCTGGATCCGCGCTGTAATTTCAGTAAGCGTACGCTCCCGCGGTCCGTAAGCTTCTCTAGCAACGGCTACATCATGATCTGCACATGAGGAGACATGGTGAGACGACCTTGGAGATATTTGTACAAGATACTCACCCCGAGCAGTGACGTCAACATGGAGGCGATCGCGCTCTCGAGTGACATGCTCGAGCTTCTGCTTGGTCGCAGCGAGTTGTTTGCGCTCATGTTCTTGGTCGTCGATGATCTTCTGCATCTTCTGGCTCAGGGATGCGACCTCGTCCTGCCGGATCTGGATTTTCCGGAGGGCAGCATCGCGCTCGATCTTGGCTTGAGTGAGCAGCGCCTTGAGATGACCATCACTAGAGGAGGCGAGATCCGTGTCCATCCGCGTGATCTCGGCTCGAGAGAGCCTCAGCACCCCCTCGGCGTTGTGAAGACGATTCTCAACTTCGAGACGAGCAATGTTGCCACGCTGATGTTCGTCACGGAGAGCCGAGATCTCTTCGCTGGATTGTTGAACATCTCCAACCAAGCCTTCGCGATGAGAAGCCAGATCATCACGCTCACGGAGCAGATCATTGCGCTCTCGAGTTAACTGATCACACTGGTCGACCAAAGGAGCAGCTTGGGCCTCGAGATCTGCGACTTGGGATTCCAAAGTGTGGATCCGATGGCTCTGGTCTTCGGGTAAGTCGCGGTCGCTGCGATCTAGAGGGTCTATAGCGAAATCTCGATCCCGACGAACACGCTGGATCTCTTGCTGCATGAACGCGATTATTCCGTCCTGCTCATGAAAATAATCTTGCAGGGCGCGGAGGTTCTCAGCGACGAGATCCTCGTCAGCGTCCATAGCGGTGCCAGCTGCTAGACGAGCTTGGAGTTCACAGTGCGTCGGAAGAGTTCCACCGAGATCCGCTGCAGATCCTCTAGCGTGTCCTCTTCCGTGTAAGGCAACTAAAGCGGATCGTCGCGCTGCGACCCAGAGGGAGTGTCTGGGGCGGAATTGGACATGGAGCGAAATGAGTGGCTGAAATCCGAAGTAGAGAAGTGGAGTGATGTCGGCCATGATAGTGTTGTGCAGCAACAACGGTGGACAGGAGGCGATTTTGGTGAAGTGGATCAAAAGTTCCACGTGAATAAGACTAAGGGATTGATTGACGGAAATGCAACCGAAGGATTATCCGGACTAGTGGCTACATATCCGGGTCTGGACGATCTGGATCCTGCATGGAATCGACGGCTAGTGG